ATAAAGATAAAACGCATCAATGACTCTTCCAAATCAAACACCAGAACTTTAGCCTTATGATTTTGTCTGTGCTTCCCCCATTCCATCTGCCCAATAAATCACATAAACAACAAAGCACACAGCCAGCTTATTTTAAGGATAAAGAGCTACTGAAACCTTGTTTAGAGACAACAATTGTAGTGTAAGTAAATCTGCCACATTTTATATTTAGATGTTATGCTACTGTTCCAGCAGACCAAAACTTTACATTATATTCTTGTATTTTCTTTTAAATGCATCCATCTTGATCAACTTGACATCAAACATTCTTTGCCATATTTCCTTTAACTGTAAAATTCCGTGCCTGCACAGAATTCTATGGGTGATGATTTAATTCGTGCCATTTGTTCTCTTTCCTTTTCTCTAGAGCACACAAACAGCCTCAGTTGTACTTCCGTGTAACGATGTCTGTGTACAAAAGCTGCTGAAGATGCACAGTGTTCAGAAGAGCTATCTTAGGTTTAGATTTCACCTTCCTCTTTACTTGGGATGGAAACTCTGGCATCAGATATATGACTTTTGGCTGTTTAATGGAGACAAATGAGATAGCGTTGAAGTTGTGCTGTATTTTCCACAAGATATGCCTATTAAAATAAGTATTGCTATATCATATTTGACATTCCAAAATAACCCTTGCTTTCAAAGCATGTGAAAAAGCACACAAAATAGGCTCAAAAAATCATTTCCAGTACTATCCAAAAGCAGAATCGCTCTTGCTCAGATCCTGTAGATATTTTGTTTGATTTGCAAATTGCTTCACACACAGATTTTTTAAATACAAGAGGAAAAAAAAAAAGATTATCCTCTATTTCTCCCCTCTCAGACCCAAAAATACACTCATACACTCCTTCCAGCTTCTTTACAGTTTCACTTTGATAAGTCAGAGTTAAGCACCACTAATACATTTCATAATCTAACCTATCAGGAAAATAGCACAGCAACAGAAACAGTGTTTCACCATGCTAATTGACTGCTTCTGGAAAGATCTGCTGGACACCAGAGTCAGATCAAGGAAATTGTCAGAACTGTGCAGATATGCAAAAGGTCGGGGCAGAGCAACAACTCCACAACTGTGTGTTAGTGAGTGGGAATGATTTTGTTTGCTTAGGTATAAAATGACTACCATACTACCAGATGACAATGCAATATTGCCGTAACTAGAAAGGCCTCGCAAGTGTTGTGGATTACTTGCTTTTGTTTCTCAAGTAACAAATAGTTAAAAGGAAGATTAGCATGCCCCATGACCACCACCTGCAACAACATCAAGCCTGTCAGTCTTAAAAATAACTATTATCCATAACAATAGAAAACAGTAGAAATATGTCCAAAGATGTATTATCAGTGTAAGTCAGTGTGATGACAGACAAGCTTTTCATGGTCTGGAGGCCACTCTGGACACAGTAGATATCCTTGCACTGGATTTTAAATTTTGCTTCATTTCTTTATAAGCAAAGATGATAATAACTATGGAATGGTCTAAATGTAGAGTTTTGTTACTGCAGCTGGCCACAAAATAATCAGTGACTCAATACAATAATGTGTAGATAATTATATGCCTGCAGTAGATGACTATACTGGCATATCATTGATTTGATGGAAGAAGTCAAAGTGAAACGACACAGTGAATCCATGAAATGAAGTACCCATAATGAATTTTAGCAAGCATTTGTGAGTTGATTAAATAGCAATGTAGGAATACACATAATGAAACAGGAAAGCAACATGCTACCTCTTCAGATATGATATTGGAATAATCACTTCTATCGCTGATTTTGATCTATTCATTCAGAGACATGATGTGACAAAACCTTAGCCTTCTTTTCCCCTGAAATGAGGAAGAGACTTCAATCTGATCAATTTTCTTAATTTGTCTCACTCCCTGTATAGTGATATGCCTTCTCTGATAGATTAGAGACAGTACACTTTGTTTTATTGTGTGTAATGTCAGAAGGTTTTCCAGACTAGGACTAAAAAAAACCCATATGAAGATAACAAGAAAAGGAATTCAATTTCATAACCCTTCTTCATCTGAACATGTTTGCCTCAAGCAAGGATAGTACAGGTTGAGCAGTAACAAAACATGATCTAAGTATGGGTGCTGAAAACAGGGATGAAGGATTAAGATGACCATATGACAGAGCAATTGTTTCTAGAGTGAATATTTTGCCTTTATTTGCAGGCTTTGTAATTCAGTGTCAGTAACAGGAAGACATTCATCAGTGATTTAATGTGTACTCATTCTGAGGATGAAGCACAGCTGTTTTGTGAGGATCAGCACCCATCAGACACTGATGTAGCTAAAAGCTACAGTTGTCTGAAGTTTCTTGAGAATCCCACAGAAACCACTAGCATCACTAGAGCATAGCAACAGCAATTCCCATTGCTACAGAAGCTACAGCTGCTAGAGCAGCTTGAAAAGAAATCTAGAAGGCAAATTGACACTCATTCCAAAGTGAGCTTTCATTTATCTCTGTGTTGTAATGGAAATTTATGAATAATAGTCTATTTCGGGCCAATTTAGAACGGACTATTTCAGTCATGCTGCTCAATTGTTTGAAATGATCACCTAAAGGTGTGGAGTTAAGCCTTTATTTTCAATGCTGTTATATGTGCTTCATTTCTCTTTGGAAACTGCTTTGCTTTTTCAACTTGTAAGCTTACAGTCACTAGATATGCCATCACTTTGTGAACCTTATGGAAAGGCAGGGAAGCAAGCGTACCATTATGTCACTTGCACCAGTTACAGGAAAACTTGTTCTACATAATTACATGAATACGAAACATGAATTTTGTCTTGCCATACCTTTGTGCTGCTCAGCACAAAAGGATTTGATCTAAACTGGGCACTTTTGGTACTAACATACCAACAAATAAATGGTTGCATTTTTGTAGCGGTAGCCAAACATCCTTTTGCACCATCCACAATACTGGTTAGAAGCACCAGCTTCACTGCTAGAGTACAACGAATGAGAACATCATTCTGTTATGTAATATGCTCATTGCAAAATGAAATTATGCTGCTCTATTAAAAACTGCTTTTACAGGATACTGTGGAAGATTGAGAGTCATTAAAATATGAACTACTTTTAGTTTGCTTTTAAAAAAAATCCATTATTGTATTTTCAGAATTAATACTAAACACATCTTGGCTTGAATCTTATTGTCTGCAACAGTTAAAAACGGCGACAACATGACTGGCTTAAATAAGCAGGGTTCATGGTCCCAGGCTGTTTCACTCATCGCTCCTCTTTGCTACGTACACAGGCAAACTTCCTAGTCCATAACTGGGCTTTTTACATAGTATGTTCTGTAAAGCTTTGAGAGTGAAGTTGAGAAGTTTCAGTTAAAAAATGAAAAAAAAAAGTAATCCTTTTAATGGTACCGTCCGTCTTCTAAGCATAGCTCTCATTGACTCAATGCTCAATTAAGCAAACCAGGCTCTGTGTGCCAAAGCCATGAGGTATTTATGTTATAAGATGGCATCTCTCTTTAAAAAAAAAAAAAAAAAAAATCAAATTGTCTGATAATCTTGATACCCATGTTTGATTCAGTTCCTAGAAAATTTCCCATAAATGAAGTAGGCTTTTACTAGCAAAACTGGAGAAGAGACATTAAAGGAGATACTGGATACTAGACTTGAACTTCCCCAGAAGCGCATAAATTCAATTACTCTGAATGGAATATATTTAATCTACTTCATGCAGGAAAATATTAAGAGTAGAATCATCAAAGCAAAGTTTCTTACATAACTGGTTTAGTTGAGTCTTGGGTAAAGAAAATGAGGTTTATGAAAACACAACTGTTCAGAACAAGAGTACCCAAAAATGGAGGAAATTAAAGTGTTAGTCATGTTACAAGAGGCCCAGGATGGTTCTCCATGAGATAATTTTTCATTAGATTGTAAGTGTCCTGGTTTCAGCTGGACAGTTGGTTTTCTTCATAGTATTTGGTATGAGTGAACAGCCATGTGTTGCTTAGCTGCCTGCTGGGTAAAACCATAACAGTACGCTACTTTAACTGCTATTTTATAAAGTGTTGCCCCTTACTTTCGACCCCAGAATTTGTTTAGCTGCAAGAGGCTGTAAAAAGTATTGGCTTACTACTTCTGTATCCTGCAACTCCTAAAGCTTCCTGTAATATTCTTTCCTCTATTTTTTTTCTTGATTTTTCTTAAATTATATGCAGTTTCACCACACTGGAATACATTGGAATCAAGACAAATTTTAAAAATATATGTATAAAGATAAACATTTTGAAAGACATATTTAAATACTCTCCTCATATTTTTCTAAAACAAAAGTTGTCCAAATTTTCATTTCATTTATGTTCAATCTGTTCTGTTTAGACAACTAACTTCAAAATTCCTGCAGTATAAAAACATACATAAGGTTCTGACACTAACATACCTCTATAATTAATGAAGAGAAATAGCTACTTTTAGATTGTTTAACCTTATCTCCCTGAAACATCTCCTCCAAGAAGAGAAGAATTATGCCCTAAAATCATCTTTTTCCCATCATTCAGTTAGGAAGGTCTAAACAATATTTCAAACACGCTTATTTCCAGTGAAGATTTCTCCAGCTGGCTGCATTGCAACAGTTAACTTATTTATTGTCAGTTCAAAACTCCCACTTTGCTCATCGCCACATTGTAGTCTAACTTTACATACTGAAAAATCTCCTTACTCACAGCAGAACAAAAAATTAATTCTGCTTTATATACCAATATACGCCATACGTACAGCAAAAACTCATTCAAAATTTTTCCTTCAGACAACTGAAGAAGCTAAAGGTAATTCTTCAGCAGCACATCCTTTTCCAGTCAATAAAGTAAAACAAAATGAGACATAACATAACACCATAAACTGTACCCTTACCTGAGTGCTTCTAGATGTAAAGATGATTCATGTCACTGAGTGCAAATACAGAGAAATTGCGTACATTCTGAATAAGAAAGGATACATTCGTATGGCTCCTGTTCTTGTCCCAATTGCCAGAATTTTCTGAACTGGGTCAAAAGCTAAGGCAGTGGGTAGATAAGGAAAACCATGACGAACCGTCTGAAACAGAACAAAATAACAAAGTCAGTGAAACGTAACCGCAAACAACAGCACGTGTGTTCTATGTTATGGGTAAAGGAAAATAATTTACGTTTTTGTAATCAACACTGTCAGTTGATAAAGACTCAACATGAGCCAATTATGTGCGTCTGCAGCTCAGAAGGCCAACTGTATTCTGGGCTGAATAAAGAGAAGCATGACCAGCAGAATGAGGGAAGTGATTCTGCCCCTCTACTCTGCTCTTGCGAGAGACCCATCTGGAGAACGTATTCTGAAGGTCCCAACACAAGGACATGAAGCTGCTGGCCAGAAGAAGGCCACAAAGATGATCAAAGAGCTGGAGCACCTTCCCTGCGAGCACAGGCTGAAAGAGCTGGGGCTCCTCAGTATGAAGAAGAGAACGGTCCAGAAGACCTCATCAGCAGCCTTCCAGTACCTGAAGGGGGCCTACAGAAAAGCTGGAGAGGGACTTTTTATAAGGGCACGTAGCAACAGGATGAGGGGAAATGACTAAACTGAAAGAGTGTAGATTTAGACTAGATATTAGGAAGAAATTCTTTACTGTGAGGGTGGTGAGACACTGGAACAGGTTGCCCAGAGAGGCTGTGGATGCCCCCTTCCTGGAAGCATTCAAGGCCAGGCTGGATGGGGCTTTGAGCAACCTGGTCTGCAAGGGGTTGGAACTAGATGACCTGAAAGGTCCCTGCCAACCCAAACCATTCTATAGTTCTATGATTCTATGATTTTACTTTATGCTGTATTATTTGCAATACATTTCCACAGAAGTACTGTAAAAGATATGTTGTTCTAAATACAGAGGTGAATTTCATTCATGTTAATTTCTACATTTGCTCTTTACTTGGATATTTTATGTTTTTGTTGTAACGACGTAGATTATAAAGTATGCACCAACTATATATTCAAAGATAACCCCAAAATGGAAGGCAGCTGTAACTCTAAATTAAAAAAAAAAAAAAAAAAAACAAAGACATGTAATATGATTTTACAATGCAACAAACAAACAGTTTCAGCCTGACCAGAACAGCCACAGAGGACAGAAATGGAACTTATCCAGAGGAAGACATCCAATAAATCAATAAACTGAATTGAGTCTACGAAGGAAAAAATCCTTCATATCAATTTAAAAAACAAAAACACCAGAGATGTTCTCAAAATGAACAGCTGAATCACTCATCCTTTCTTAACCTTTATTAGGAATACTATGCTTGTAATTCTGATTTTTCAGAGATGCAATGCATCCTTAGGTTTAAGAGTTCCTCAAATAATATTTTAAATTATCTAAACCTGGAAGTTATGACCAGTATGACTCGCCTGATTCTTAACAGAAACAATTTCATGATGGAAAAGTCCAACACACACACACAAAGAAAGACTGAAAATAACAAGGCTAGATTAGAAAATACAAATAATAACAATAAAGTGACTGTAATGAGTGTGATTGTTTACCTAATAATATCTCAAGTACAGAGTTCAGGTTTGGGCCTCTCACTACAATAAAGACATTGGGGCCCTGGAGCATGTCCAGAGAAGGGCAACAAAGCTGGTGAGGGGCCTGGAGTACAAGTCTAACGGGAAACAGCTGAGGGAGCTGGGATTGTTAGTGTGGAGAAGAAGAGGCTTGGGGAGATCTCATCACTCTCTACGACTCCCTGAAAGCAGGTGATGGCAAGGTGGGGGCCACTTCTCCCAAAAAGTAGCAACAGGACCAGAGGGAATGGCCTCAAGTTGCTCCAAGGAAGATTCACGTTGGATATTAGGAAAAATTCCTTCTCTGAAAGAGCAGTCAGATGCTGGAATGGGCTGCCCAGGAAGGTGGTTGAATCACTATTCCTGGAAATACTAAAAAAATGTTTGATATTGTATTAGGAGACATGGTTTAGTGGGAAAATATTGGTTGTGGTGGACGGTTGGACTGGATGATCTTGGAGTTCTTTTCCAACCCTTAACTCTATCCCATAGAATTCTATGATTCTAAACTTGGATAATAAATAATTGCTTTCTTTTTAAATGTATGCTTGGGATTGAAAAGTTTTCTAGAGTGAGCAGAATGCAACTTTTTTCAGATATTTTATCTTCATGATTATCCTGTTCGTGAATTGCATTAGCTGAACCACTCAACAGACCCTACAGAACAACTTCTACAAGAACTGCCTTTTACTCATCAGGTCTGCAATTTGGGAAGTTGATGACACCTACAGTCTTACAACTACAACTGTTTTCTTTTGTTCAGCTGGAAGCACTTAAACTGATGGTCACAAGTAGCTTGGGAACAACTACATGCATCTTTTTTTGTTAAATAAAGACTTCCTTAAGAGAAATGCTACTCATCTCATGTTTTACTTATTGCTGATAAGGGATGTCTTAATTCAAATTACTAGTATCTAGACTGCAAAAATCTAGAAACACGTGCTACTTCAGTAAGCTGTAGAATCCCGATTCACTTCTTATGTTAATGCAGACATTTCTTAAAGATCTCCACAACTCTGTATTTTTTTTTTTTTGTGGTGTGTGGTTTTCTTCTTTGTGTAGTTTTGTTGGTTGGTTTTTGTTTTGTTTTACCTTCTCATCTTCTCAAGTGGTAGAATTACTGAGAATTACTCAGAATTTGATTATCATAATCAGAATTTGATATTTGACACCTGAGCTGGTACTAGACTTACAAATACTGTAAAAATGCTTTTACCTCTCATGTCACCAAATCAAAAGGAATTATAAAATCTATTTTCCAGTGTATCTGATGTTTGACCTAACTTCATTACTCATTTTCTATTATATGCAATACTTCTTTACTCTTGTGAATAAATGTTCTTCTCTACCAGAAAAATATAAATATTTTAGAAAAGATTTTATTAATTATTTTTTTTTTTTTTAAATCTCTCCATTTCTGATATTTAAATCTGACTGGAACTTACAGCATTGCTTCTTAGATCTAGGAATGTAAAGATCAATATTTTTAAAGCCTTATTTTCATTCTTGCCTGCGTGTTTACCACCATTTCACGTGTCTGTTTTTAGTATTTCTGCAATCTATGTAGTCAGACTTATAATTTATCTGGGTCCTGTTTTGTAGAACTATGTTTTAAAAGCACAGACACATACATCTCTCCAGGATCACAGCTGAGTAAATATTTCTAAACTCTGGGATTGACTCAGAACTGCTATACCCATTTTGCAGCCTTTCTTTCAAATCAGAATATTTGTACCTGGAAGTTCTGGTGCAGGCAAAATTATTCAATTTGTAGAAAAAAAAAAATACTGTTGAAGTTCATTGATCCTCCACATAAATGACAATTTTGAAGTAAAATACTTATACTGGTTATGGCTTCAAATAAAGGACAAAAACAGTTTGGAAGAAGAACAAAGCTATAATGTACAGAGTTAAGATGGAACAAAACTGTTATGATTGAGTTTTTAACGTGAATTAGAGCAGTCTCAAAGGTGATTATAAAGATCAGGCCTATTAAGCAGAGGAATAATAAGCTGTCAAACTTCAGTTTCCCAGCCCAGTGTAAGAAAAAACAATTCTAGAACTGTGTCTGGGCTTCCTCACAGCATCTATTGATAGAGATGAAGAAGAGGGAAAAATTACAAACGTGATGTTAGGATGACAGAAAATTCCTACTTAACCTGCACAGTGTAGATAATTAACAATACTGACCAAAACTTTCAATAGTCAGTAGAAAATGCAAAACAAAGTAGATTTTTTTCCCCCAAAGCAAAGCTATCCCCATAGCAGGCAGAACCTGAAGAAAGTATCCTAAAGTATCAGCCTGTGTTCTCCTAAATACAGGGCCTACCTACCACAAACATCTTAAAAGAGAAGGTGCTCAAACGAGAAAAAAAAGCAGACAGCAGATGGAGCCAGGATTGCTTTTTGCCACATCATCCAGATTTCTTTTTTGTCTCCTTTTTGGCACATAGCTTCTAGAGACAGACTGTGCTCCCTAGGACATGCAGTTTATATACAATATTTGAAACATTTTATTTGAAACAAAGCAACTACAAATGTAGCTACGATTTCAGTATAAATCCTCATTCCTATTTTAAATTTGATTAAAATCATTTCAAGCAAATATTCTGTCAGTGAATTCTAAATATATATACACACACATATACATAAATATATAAAATAAATTTACTTAAATTTCCTATATTCATTTACTATTTGGACTTGCCAGCATTCTACCAACAAACACTTCTGCTGTACAAAATATAACAGTATGTTTTTCAGTAGCCAAAAAGAGAAAATCTCACTAGCTGCAATATGCAGTATCCAGTGCAGTTATTTCATAGAGTATAATTTGGCTTTTCAGTATTAGGAGTTTTTCTTAACTTTTGTTACATGGTAATTTATATTAGCCTGCAAAGTCATTTTTTCAAGGTGATTTTGTTCTTTTCTAAATAACTCCAGAAGATACAGGAGTAAAATCTGTTTTAAACTGTACCAATGGAATAATAAGGAAAAACTGTTCGTGCTGGTCTGCATAAACATAAAATGCGTGACTGACATTTTGCAGATATCCTGCTTTGCGTAATATTTGACAGCAAAATTGATTTACTTAGCTAAATAATTTTTGATGAGATGTGTACTTGTTTAAATTGAACTACGTAGTCTAAGCCTGTGACTCAGGATGTAGAATCTATTTCCAAATTGTGGTCAACATGCCAATACAGAAGTCTCACTGAAGCAAACGCTGCATCTGCTTGTGGAGCAGGGAAAGAAGCTTTAACACAAACTTGCATAGCTTCTTGCTCAGCAATCTATGAAATATTCAAGAAAGGCCAACAATTACACCTTTTGTTGAGGTTATAGTGGTGAGAAGTGGGTGACGGATGCCCGTAAAGATGTGTTGTCATGCATTATATCCTCACACAACGACATCCTTCCTTTCTATGCTTCAGTGCCTAGATTCTCTGATTGGTGACAGTATTCTCTGCTTACAAAAGATAGACACAGGACAAGATGTTAGTCGGCTTCCA